GATCAAGGTTCGTCCGAACCGCCTACCGATCCTCCTCAGTTCAGTTACCCGAAAGCTGCTAGGTATCATGTAAGTTTTCTAAAACCATTACTTTGGTTAATAGATACGTTGGTAGGTTTAAGGTAATATATTTCAATAAACATAGTGATGCTATTAGTTTGGGCTGCCATTGTTGGGCTGACGTTAGGATAAGTAAGTAGGTTGAGAATGCGACTTCGAACATTGGTATTATTAGAATGCTTAGTTGTTAAATACATGCATTGGTTATGTTTGATTTACAGTCGTTATGCTGCTGAAATATCTACATACATAACCTCATCCATTTTTGTTTTGGTGAACCATAAGAGCGATTTCAATCGCTTAGGGGTGAGTCACAATCTAGTACTGACAGCCTTCTCCCTGATGAGGCATCTCTTTGGGAGCAAAGTGTCGGAGGACGGAGGAAAGGCCGAATATTTGGTTTCGGGACCACCCACGACCCCTCTTATGCTATGACGGGTAGATGTAGTAGTAGCGGGTCATTATACGAGTCAAGAGCAGAGGTACGTTGGTTATATTGTTATAAACTTTCTCTTTACTGAAATTGCGAACAAATTACTGATTTCGAAGAATATTGAATATTTACAGGTAACGGAGTTGAGAGATAAGTTGTCAAGGGTAGAAGAGGAACTCGAGACCGAACGGAAGCATAGGGCAGATTTGGAGGCCAGACAAGCTGCTGCATTAGCCCAACAGACTGCTGCATTAGCCCAACAGACTGCTGCATTAGCCCAACATGCCGCATTATCGGAGCATTTTGCTGCGTTTATGCGGCAGTCATGATACGTTTTCCCACCTCCCCCAGATCCCGATAGTTAGGTTGTATGTATTCGAAGATTAAATTGTATGAATTTGAATATTTTAAATTGTATGAATCCATATTTTAAATCGTATGAATTGGTTACTTTTGTTCACAGATTTGGTTTGTTATATATTATTATTTTCAGGTTTTTTAAAAATAAATACAGGATTTATGTATTTTTAAAAAAATTATTTTTTAATTTTTTACAAATTAGCAACAGATTATCGAGGGAAAATCCGTCGCTGAAAGTGCTTGAATTTCCCTCGCAAATCCATCGCTGAAAGTTCCCTCGCAAATCCGTCGCTGATCCGTCGCTAAATACTTCCCTCGCTGATCCGTCGCTGAAAGTGTCCGTCGCAAATCCGTCGCTGATAGCATTACCTACGACTGTTTGACCGACGAAGTATCAGTGACGGATCAGCGACGAAAACCCCTTTCAGCGACGTATCAGCGAGGGAATTTTCCCTCGCTGATACTCTGCATTTTTGTAGTGAATGCGGCTTGACCCTTTACAATAAATGTATGCCAGAGGGAAATATATAGTAGTGAAAATGCATAATGGAGGAGTTTGCAAGGTGATTTGTGAGTTGAAGCCTTTTAAGGCTTGTGTTTTATTAACTCCTTCCCACTTTCCTACAAGTAATTTCTCCTTACTTCATTACTTATTCCCTTTGAATCTTAACAACTGAGGATGCAAAGAGGATGGCAAAGAATCCATGGAAAAGTGCTTAAAAGAGACACCACGTATATACTAATTATGACAAATATTGATTACTATGCAAGGAATGCATGCAAAAGCTTGGGAACATGAATTTAGACATGGCGATTAAGTTTTCAGATTATGTGAATGAGCTAGATACTTGCTTTAAATTGGTGGTTATTCTTGAAATGAAATCCAAATTGCATCGTGAATTTGTCTACTTTCGTGACCAGTATGATGTTGATCAAGAAATAGAAAAACAGATTGCCCAGAAACAAGGGTAATTATTGCTATAAAAGCATAGGGGTTGATTCGTTCATGCTAAGGAATGAAAATAAGAATGAAAATGATAAGAAATGAAAATGGGAATGAGTTTTTATCCCCTCCAGTTTAACAAGGAATACAAAATTTGGGTTTCTGAGTAAGGGTGTAAATGATACGAGTCGAGCTTGAATATCACTGTACTCGACTTGAACTCGAAACCCAACTTCCAAGCTCGAGCTTGACTCGAAAACTCGCGAGTAGTAAAAATCAAAGCTCGACTCGAGCTCGACAACTATGTCTCAAACTCGAACTCAAATCAAGCTCAAACTTTAACTCGAACTCGAATCAAGCTCGAATTAAACTCGAGCTCGAATCAAGGTCGAACTCATTTAATGCATAACAATAATAGAAGTTCGAAATAAATTAAAAAACACCAGCAAATTAAATCCGGAAAATTAAGATTTTACAACCAAATACAAAATAAAATCATAACTACTTGTAACATACAACCAAAATCAAACGAAGTTGAGAAAAATACAATATTAAAACCAAGTACTTATAAATCTATCAACAAATCAAAACACGATCTTATTTCAATTCGATTCTCAGCTTCCATGAACGACACTTGAATGAAGATTTCCATTGGTTATTCTTCGTTCTTCTACAATAGAAACAAGAACAAATTAGTATACCTGTTAAAAGTAAAAGTAAATAATATTTAAGCATTTATCTTATTCTTCCTTTTCACTCCATGGAGTGATCTACACCAATCACCCGTGCACATCAACATTTGTACCGTTTCCGAAGCAAAAGAAGCTCTATAAGGATCTATTGCACGACCACCAGCACTAAAAGTTGTTTCCGAAGCCACAGTAGTGATAGGAACAGAGAAGATATTTGCAGCCATTCTAGATAAAATTCAGAACTTGTTTGATTGTTCCTTCCACCAACCTAAGACATTAAATTTGTAGTCTTGACTAAAGAAACACCCCTCTCCTAGATACATATCAAGCTCAGATTTCACATAAGTTACCGATGTCTCCCCACTAAAAACATCTAACAAAAGTTCAGGTAAACCACTAGATCCGTCATTTCTTTCACAAATATTTGATCCAAATTCACATTCTCCACTGTCATCTCTAATAGAAGAAGAATACATTCTCACATATTCATCAAAAAGCTCATACATCACCTCTTTGACTATACTAATATTATCCCTAACTACACTTAAAGAAAACTTTTAGGCCATGCAATCTCTGTAGCCCTCATTTTCAATCTAGGATCTAACACGATCCCTATTAACATTAGCATGTTACATTCCCCCCCCCCCAAATATTTATCAAAACTCTCTTTCATGTGGTTTACCATACTTTTAACAAAATCATCATTCAATTGAGATTGTTTATCCAACATAATTTTAATCCTTTGTACTTCAGCAAGAAACAAGTTAGAAGTTGGATATTCAGAACCAGATATTGAGTTAGTAGCATCTTTAAATACTTTCAATATATCAAGCAATTTTACAGTTTTACTCTACTCCTCTTCATTAGGTCAAGAAGTATAATTACAATCATGAAATCATATCGAGGAAATACATGTGTAAACTTGATGGCACAATCTAGCATGTCGTATGTTGAATTCTGATGTGTCTTGCATTCAAGAACTAACTTCCGATGATTCATGTTGTATTGGCTTACAGGTTCACCAAAACACTTAAGACGTGCATCATTTGAGTTCGAGTAATCAAAGGAATAATGGACTTTCACAATAATGTCCTTCACTTGTTGAAGATCATGTTGAACCATAATGTTAAGAATGTGGGCACAACATCGAACATAAAATAATTTTCCACCGCAAATAAGCCTCCCATTTGATTCAAAATTATCCTTTAAAATTGCAATACAAGAATCATTTGCAGATGCATTGTCCACATAAATTGTGAAAAACTAACACGAATACACAAAGATTAAGCTTTATTAGTACACAAATCATAAATAAAATAAAACATATATGCACTAATTTATCAACCAAAGTAGAACTTACTTTGTCCTCAATTTCCCACTCCCTTAGGCATGTTAAGATGCAATCAGCTATATTCACACCTTTACATAGAAGAGGCAAATGAACAAAGTTAATCACCCTCTTTTGGAGATTCCAATCAAGATCCACAAAATGAGCGGTAATAACCATATATTCAATTTTTCCGTGGCTTTGACTTCCACAAATCTATTGTCAAACTTACTCGTTCCACTTTCTTGAACAAATCTTTTAGCTTTTTCTTCTCAAACTCATAGATTTTGAAAGAGTCTGCTTTAATAGTACCTTAGGATACACGGTTCCATTCAGGTATTCCCCTTTTCATCATCAAATTAAAACCCTTCCTCTTCAACAATACTGAAAGGATGCTCATGCATAGTGATCCAATTGGCTATCCCTCTTGCATCTTTAATATGTCAAGTTTACCATTATGTAAAACACTAATAAACTCAGGTTGATTTGTACCAATGCTTGAATCAGATGACAAAAAATTAATCAATTTTTGTCGTCTTACGTGTTTCGCTTTCATAACACAAGATTCCAAATGTCGGTGTATGTGGGTAATGCTCTTAGATTTCAAAAGAGAAAGGGGAGTTTTAAAATACTTGCACCTTACTTTCCGTTGATTTTTTATCATTTCAGGATTAAAAAAAGCATCCCATACTTTTGATCTTCTTGGTCTTTTAGAGTTATGAAAAAGTTTATTATCAACATTTGATTCTCCTTCATCAACATTCACTACAAGAAAAATGACCTTTAGAGAAGGTATTGTTTTGTACTTAAAAGTCTTAAAAACTTCTCTAAAACCTTTAGATAAGCTTTTAAATTTTGTCAAAGAGCTTCTCTGTGTGACGGTAGGTAAAAGTTTTAGAGAGGGTTTTCGGAGGGTATGTCTTTGTTAGCCTTTAGAGACGCTTAATTGAGACTTTAGATACACTTTTAAAGCTTCTCTAAAGGTTAGTCAACTTTTTATTCAAAGCTTCTCTAAAAGTATATATATTAGTGACACTTTTCAAGTATTTGTGACGTTTTGTAAGAGTTACTAAAAGATGCTTTTAGAGAAGATAATGGAAAAGCTTCTCTAAAGATATT